TCAAGCTAGAAAAGAATGGGGGGTCCAAGTAACTTTGTTTTGGTTTTCTGATAAAGAAAAAGGTGGGGGGTAGGAAGAGGAGCCAAAAGACATGACCATTATCCACATGGAAAGATAAAAAAGAAGGAGAATGCTAGAGGAAAAGTCCAGAGTGTGACAGATCAAAAGAGCAAGGCTTCTGGCTGTTAAGATAAAGCATGTCCTAGTTCTTGAGAACATATTTATGTGTGTGTGCACTGGGCTTTTTTAAAAGGAAATAGTTTTATTCATAGAAAGGTCTGTTTCTACCATGAGGGCTGTTTAAGGGGGAAATAGCGGGTGAAAATATAACTTTCACAGGCACAGCTATAAGGAATGTTTTGTGTAAATGAGAACAGGGTCTATTATTTTAAATTAAAAAAATTATTGGAAGGTTGGGGGAAAAGGGGACTCTCTTTTCATTCTGGGTTGGCAACTCCTGTAGTGTGTGGCTTGGCTGTGCAGTAGATCTGCTTGTGTAGACATGCACGTGGTGTCCTGTGGATGGCAAGGAGTTCTTGCTGAACTTAAACCAGAGTGTGTAAAAGGCTAAGGAATCAAATATTCAGTGGAGTCAGCCAAAACACTGCAACTGTGGTTCAGCCTGTGCTCAGATACTGGCTGCTGAAATGGCTACGCTGGTTGGAGATGTTACCTCTCTCCTTGTGCTTGAAGATGCCTCGTGGTGTGTGTTGGCAGAGCAGCTTCTCAGGTGTTTTCTTGCAAAGTTGTCCGGTTTAGGACAGAGAAATTTATATCCTCTCAGTTAAACTATTCCAGCCTGGTTGTCTCGTACCATACACTGGCAGTAATCAAGGTGCCATCATCTGAAGCAGATGAGGAATGTCCTCCACTTTCGTGGCAGAGGCAGTAACAGCAGTGGGCTCTGCGTAAAGAGGTGACGACCATTAGCTGTCTAAGTGGCAACAGGGTGTATGTTGCAGGCAACCCCAGTGTGAGGAGACTGTGAAACAAGGTAAACTTTGTGAAACAAGCAGTGAGATTCCACAGACTACACCATGTACCTTGGATAAACTCCAGGCTATAGGTGTCTCTTACATGCTGTCATGTTCATGTGTAGAACGAGTTTGGAAAATGGCAGGAGTTTACTTACACAGTTTTACAGGTCTTCACAAAGTACAGGGTATAGAGAAACACATATCCACTGAGATTGGCTCTTGGCTCTTGTCCGAGTCGATTCTATGTGAGTAACTTGAGGAGTTGAGTAACTATTCCTGATTTTACTTTGCCGTTTGTGAGAGTGAGATGGGATGGCAGTTGAGCTGTGTAGATCCCGTGGCATCTGCTGGGAGTGGATCAGGTGAGTGTGCCCTGGTGTTCTGCTCCCACTGCTTCCTTGCAGGGTGCATGGCAAGCTGCCTTCCCAGGTACCTTTACAGCAAGCAGCAGCAAGAGAATTAAGAATTAAAACTTAGATCAGCAAATTGGTGTCATTGCTCAGGCTTGGAGACAGTAGCAAAGGACCTGAAGAGATCCCTACAAACCTACCAGAAATTAATGGGAAGATTCCTGGTCAGTGGGAGTTCAGGCAAACAAAGGTTGATGTGAGATCCTTTGTCTCTCAGGGTGTCAATTTGGGCTCAGAGAGACTGCTGGAAGGAAGAGATGTTGACACAGAAATCTCATTTCTGTTTGCTGTGTTGTTACACCCTCCCACCCAATTAAAACAGATTAATATTGATTAACAAGAAAATAACTATATTTTTGTGGGGGGAAAACGCTTCTGGCAGTCTTCTGTTTGAATGCAGAAATGAAAGGCATTGTTGGCACAAGAATAAATGCGTATAGAAAAGGGTTTGTGTACATTTAATTAGGAAAGTGGAGGGAGGAAAGCGTGTGTATTAATTGAGGTTTTAAACAGCAGCAAGCACTAAGACAATCTGGGACGTGATACAGGATGTCTCTTAAATTCAGTACTAAGCACACTCCCTTTTCAGTTCTGTCAATTCTTAACTGTCTTGTCTCCATTGTCATTTCACCATGAGAGAGCCTCAGTTTAGCTCCCCCCTCCTTTTTTTCTCTCTAGTGAATACCTAATCATCACACTGCTTTTTGACTGGGTATTGACTGTGAGACTTCCTGGCCTAATTTTTCTTGCTCGCTATAATAGCAATAGCTGGTGATCTTCATTCTTTGATTTTGAATCTGAGCTATACAGGATGCTCAGACATGCAGCTGGATTTTGGGTTAATTGAGTAACAGTCATCCAAAACCCAGGGCTTCTCTGTGGTATTAGCATAGAAAGTAATGGGTCACAAAGCTCAGGGTCCGTTACCCTCTGACATACTAATACCCCCCAAATTAATTTCATTTTCATGATTGCATCATCTTAAATTGAGGTGAAATCAAGGATTTTTTGTCTTTTGCCACCTTCCAGCTGAGTTTGACTGGCACAACTTCTGACATGGGTGTATGGAGGCTGGTACCACGGCCAAGTCAAATCCTTTTCTTTGTTCTCAGGGCCTGCTGCTGCTGATAAAGTGGTCGGCGCATGGCATTATGTCTTATTACATTTTTGATGCAGACTGCAAAGAAACGGGTAAACTCACCATGGTTACCACGATCTGTCATTTGGCAGGGCATGCCGTACTCAGCGATGGCCTCTAGTGTCTGCAGCACAGCTCTGCATATGTGGCGGCTACAGTAGACAATACAGCACCCCTGGCTGCTGAAGGGATGAACTCTTCCCATCTCACTGCTAATTCACATCAGCAGCAGTACTCAAGCTCCAGCGGCAGGTTCTTACTCGTGGTTGCCCTCTGAAAGTTCTTGTTTGTTTTTGTCATTCAGTGTTGACGGAGTCAAGCTTCCAGTTACTGTCCACTGCAGCGGTGTGTGTTGCTGGCTTCCACATCTGTGGAACTTTCTTGGTCAGCACCTAGATTCGTTACTTTGCCTTCTCATAGGGTTTCTTTCTTACCCAGACATACCCTGCTGTTATTTTGTACAGACACTGCATGGGAAATTGCTTAAATCAACATGATGTGAAACAATCACTAAACTATCTGTAGTATATTGACATTAACCAACATGGTGGAGATAAGTTGTTGGTTTGCTGCAGCTGAGGTTTGCTCAGTGGGTAGAGCAGGATTCCTGAGCCTGGTCATCAGAGTCCTGGCCTGAGTTCTGAACCACTTTGGAGCTCCCAGGTCTTCTATGTGGCTGCTTGCAGTAACAGTTCAGGAACAAGTCTTTGCAGGATGGGTCTCTTGTTTTATTGTACATGAGGAAAAATCACTTTAGTCTTTCTCTGCTTAATTGAGGTAATTAAAGCTTCTTACCTTGCAGCACAAGGGGCTCATTAATGGTTTTGAAGCATTTTGAAGTCCTCGGAGGAAAGACGCGGTTTGCTGTTGTGTCATGTTTGGTAACTGTTGAAACTCAGTCATCTGGACTTGAAATACCGAGTTTACATACAGAAATCTTACCATTTTGAGCTGATAATGTGAAGAACTAGTGGTGTTCTTCCCAGTGCTGTACTCCACAGTTGTGTTGCTAAGTTTTTTTGGGTTTTACTATGCTTTAGCAAAATGTGACAATTGGCTCTATGGGAAACGTGGGCAGAAATGCAGATTGTAATGCCGCAAGGTTTAGCAGCTGAGTTAAAGGCAAAGAGAAACCTTGCCTTTTTAAGGTGACCTAGTGATCAGCCCAGTTTGCCTTTCTCAGGATTTCACATCCTGTTAGCTAATAAAAATTAAGAACATGGTCTCTTCTTGTAATGGAGACACCACCACAGTGATACCGAGCGATCAGTTGTGAAGTGGAAAGCGACTGCCCAACTGAGGGCAAGAGTCTCTTCCAGTGTGTTCAGCCTCGTTTTATACAGTGTAACTGCTGGCTCACCCTTTTTGCAGCAAGGGAAAAACAAGAATGAAATCACTTGCAACTTTAAAACAAAGCTTAGAGATTTACATAGTTCTAAGCCCCAGTGACTTTTAGCATCGGTTTAATTTAGATTTAAATGAAGGCTGGTAAATGAGATCTGTTCCTCATAGGAGAGACAGTTGGGAATTTTCAGCAAAGGAGTTTGTAAGGGGGAAGATTTTTCCAGACAGCAGGCAGTCTGTGTCTATGCCTGCAGGCAAAGACATCAGCATCAGTGGATGCAGGGGCATTCTGGCTGCAAGAGCAAACAAGTTGAATGGCGTAACATGCCCTTCCTTAGTCTTGAGGTACAGTCCCTAGCCAGGAGGTCCTCCAGCACTGGTGGGAAATGGGCAGTGTAATTAAGCCCCCTGTGAAAAACCTGAAGGTTGTTTCTCAGCCCCAAATCCTTAGTGTCGTGGGGTGAGGGGGAAGAAGCGTTTTGATGGTTCATTTCTGGAGCGGTTTATCAATGGT